GCATTTTTTAAATTTAACATACCAGAGATTCAATTTCATATATATAGCTTCATATAATATATATTATATACTGTTCCAAAGAAGATTTGGAGAAGAAAGTTGGTTGGATGAATTAGAGCAAAACCAATATGCATAGGCAGTTTGTCCTGCTGTGGTTCATAAATACTTAAAGGGGTCATAGGATGCTACATGCACTTTTACAAGTTGTTTGAACTGAAATGTGTGTTGGCAGTAATGATAATTATAAAAATCTATAATGATAAAAACCCACCCAGTGTTTTTTTTTAAATTTCATTAAATATTTCCCTTTCTAAAATCGAGCCGATCTCAGATGCCTGTCTGTGTGATGTCACACAGACAGGCCCCTCCCACGATAGTTTGATTGACAGTAGTGTTTCAGCACAGACTGGACTGGTGTCTTACCTCAGACCCACCCAGTGTGAGCTGTCATCAGTCCGCCATTGTTTCACCGCCGGAGCAGATGTAGACAAGAAAGACTCCTAAGCGATTGAGGTGCTCTGTTGTTGGATGTAATAATGAACATAGCAGTCGCCATTTACTCCCAACATCTGAGCCGCTGAACTCACAGTGGATTACGTTTGTTTCTGAAAGGAATGCGCCCCCGATCTACATAAATGCGTCTATGTTCGCGTGAATCATTCATGATCCAGCCTCATCTACAGAAGAAGTGAGTATAATGTTTTGTAATGAATCTTTGCAAATCGCCTTTCCTAATAATGTGCTAATTAGCAAGTTTCACAATGAATGCGGCTAAAGTAAACAGTCCCTCTGAGAGCAGCTCGGAAAAGAGGGACGGGGTCAGCAGAGCTCATTAACATTTAAAGGAAAATGCTACAAATACGGCTTGATCTGAAAAGAGCTGTTTTTGACAGGGTAAAAAAGGTGTTTTTTTACACTACCATTGAGAAATTTTAACCAAACTATGTTACAGACTTTTCATTAAGACCCTAAAGAATCATATCAACTTGTGGAAAATGGCCATCCTATGACCCCTTTAAACAAATGTCCACCGGCCAAATATAAATGATCTGCAGAAAAAGCCACATATACTTGGTATTAAATTTAATGATTGATGATTTTATTAATAATAACTATTAGTATGTTTAGATTTTGAGAAAACTGAAAGTAGGTATGTGTCAGTAAACGCAAAGTAATGTCGTTACTTATTATAAATACATTAATGCATTTTCTAAATGACGTCTCAGATCTGATTATAGGAGATCACTACCTGTTACCGGGGTTGGACTGGATAATCTACAATTTCAAAAGGGAAATCCCCTTTACCCTGCTGAAAGACCAGTCTGCTCACCAGCATATGCCATGCTTTCGATGCTGGTGTCTGACTTTTATCTTGGTCAACCGGTTACTGTAGGTTTTTCTAGTTAAAGGAACAGTTTACCTAAAAAGGTACATTTACTCAGCCTCAGACCATCCAAGATGTAGATGAGTTTATTTGCTCAAAAGGACAGATTTGGAGAAATGTAGCATAACATCACTTGTTCACCAATGGATCCTCTGCAGCGAATGGGTGCCGTCAGAATGAGAGTCCAAACCACTGATAAAAACCAAGTGGTTCGGGACACCGACAACATACAAGACCGAGCGCATAATGGTTCCTTAGTTTTTAAAACCCCGGAGGTTTGCTGTTTTGAATGACCTATTGTCATTTCTCTCATTCAATGTGACAATAAAATTTCAAAAAGGTCTAAAATCTACATTTTTAGTACGTGCAATTTTGTAAAGACATGCTTTGGAAGGTGGATTTCTTTACACTTTCTTGTTAATTTTGTTACTTTTAACAAAGTTTTAAATAAACTGAAAATGTTAAATACGTGCCTTCTGTTTTTTTCATTAAGTTGGTGATAGTCTCCATAATAAGCTTAACATAGAGACTATCAAATATCACATAACAGCCTAATATTTGTTATTCTGAAAGCCAGAAATGCTTTGATAGGGGCAGTGTAATAATTTTTCAGCATGCAAAAAAAAACCGAGAGCCCATGAGACTGTGTCTGCACAAGGACAATGCACTAGGTCTGTGTGAAAAAAGAGGGCAGTGGTTCATTATTTTCTCCCATTCACAGGTAAGACTGTGATAATTTCGAATTCAGTCGTCTTCTGCTGCTGAAAATTCAGCTTGCAAACACAGCAGAATCCCAAAGGACAGAAAAGAGCCAGAACAACTCATTCTATAGTGTGAAAAGGAACAGCAGACTTTAGAGGAACTGGAAGAAATAATGAGAGAGTATAGATAAAGAGAAGGGGAAAAAGTGGAGAGGTGTAATGAAGGAGGTGAAAGTCTACCTTCCATTCCATCTGCTCAGGGACTCGGTGAGCAACAGGACACGTCTCTCCACCTCAGACCTGGAGGAGTTGAGTGTTCATGGAGTCTCTAGTGTTGTTCTGCTCCTGCAGGCATCTGAGCCAGTAACGGATCAGTTTAATGAGTAGGAGAAGGCAGCTTGAGCTTTATAAGTTCAAGTCACTGTGTCTCATTCTAATAAACTCACATTAAAAATTGCATGGAATATTCCTACTTATATGCACAGGAGAACTTATAAAATAAAAAAAAACATGTAATAACATAAATTTGTTCTTAACCTTGATCTTGATCTTGAACATTAATGTAGCTAATTACCCAAACCGTCTCTATATATACGGGCTTTCCACACAACCTTTCCTAGTTTCCCAGCTAATAGATGACATGTCGGCTAACGTTCTGGCAAGGTTCTCTCAAAGTTATGGATTTATCAAATGAAATGTTCCTTTTAAGGCCACGTGAAACGGAAGTTGCGACTGACTTCAGTTAGTGAATGAGACTCGCTGTTGTTATATGGCTTGTCAATGCAAAGCGTTAAAGGTGCACCAAAGACTATAGATATACCTAAATGGGTTACTCCTATTACTTATGAATGGGAGAAACTGCAACGCCCAATATGGTGGAACATGTCCCGCCTTCTAAATGAAAGAGCCAATCGCTGATTAGTAAAGTCATTGCATCACTGCAGCAGCTGTTAGAAGCTCCCACAGAAACCAGAGACTTGCGCTCATGACCGCACATGCACATTGACTGGTCTAGATTTAAAAAAAAAAAGGAACTATATTTTTGGGGCAGTTCATTTCAGATTTTGTTGCCGATTTGAAACGTGTAATTTCTGCAAGCAGTATTTTAGATTTCAGGATCCCCCCCTCATTGATTTAGATGGGACTTGGTCTTGGATGCCCAAAATAGCTGTCCGGAGTCATTGCAAATATGGCCGCCAAGTGAACAAACTTTACTTGAAAGGGACTACACTCAGTAATATTTATGCTGCATTGGCCAATATGGTCATCTTAGACTTATGTATCTGGTGGTGTGGATGAAGCGTCACAAAACATTTCCAGTTGTTATTAGCTGACATTTTCAAATAACATTCACAAATCCCACCTGGACACAAGACCCGCAATAATCAAAGACATCTGACCAGGTTTGAATGTGTACAAGCATTAATGAGATTTGAGAGCTATACTGCAGCAGCCATAAAATATCACTTCTTACTGTTGTCTTTTGATTGTGGGGTGAAATACGACACAGACATGTTTTTGACAGGCTTTGTGAGCTTCACCCACACAGGTCTATGAGGTGTTAAGGTAGGAGGAAGCTGATCCAGAGGTTGTTATGAAAACAAGTGTCAAAGTCTTGAATTAAACTCTACGTACATGTCCAAAAGTCAGCAACCTTGGTTTGAGCCAACATGGGTTTTTTTATATTGTTAATTTCTCATGGGGTGCTTTAAGAATTGCTTAGTTTTTTGGGTTAATTTCACGTACTAAAATGCTAAAAATTACAAAAAAGGGTCTATAAAGTGTAGAAGTACTGTAATGCCACAAAAAATTTTATGATAATCTGAACAATATTTCTGCAAGATAAATATTTTGTAATAACGCTATAATATGAGCAGATGTTTTCCTCAAAGGGTTTATTGTAAGAGAGTACTAGTTAACCTTATACACCTCATAGCGCAGAGCATTGGATCTAACCTTGTTGCAAGTGGAACATGGATGATAATATTGTCATCGGACAGATCCTGACCTCCATCTGCAGTGTGTTTGTCTACATACAGGGGGCAGTAGTACAGAAGCTGGGATGAGGAATTACAGTGCGAGCTTTCAGAGGAACAGATCCCGTCACCACTATTCTCTTCAGATGTTTTCATATTTCAAACTATAGTGACAATTTGTCTTATGTGTTTAAAAAACTGAAATTTACATTAAAAACCAAATAGTAAGGATTATATATTTCAGATTTCTATAAATGTAAAGAGCTAAATATTTACCAAATGAATGTTAACCACCTTTTACACAATTAATTTCTCCAGCTGGATAAGGATTTGGTGACAAACAAGCAAACAAATAATATTTATCTGGTGTATCTGTCCAGTTTGTGTTTGAAAAACTGAGATTTACCTTAAAATTCAATCCATAAAGACTGATATTCTTGTGTTGGATGTGGGCTGCATGTCTGATCAATGCTGCCAGAAAGCCTCTGGGATTGAGAAAGGTAGCCAGTCGATAAACACGAGGTGTAATACTGGATGACTCCTCCCACAGGTATGACCTGAGCTGCTCTGCTTGAGTCTCCAGACGTGATAGAGCTAATGATGTTAGATACGCAGCAGTGGAGCTTGTCATGTTATATTTTACTGGCTGAAAACTGTCTAAAAGGAGAGAAGACACCAGCGCATTCAAGCACTCCCGCTCTGCCTGGAAGAAACAATGCAATGGACCAAGAGAAGCAGATTCCATTCCCAGGCCAATGTCCTTTTTCCTCAACTTGTCTTGTAAAGTTAGCAGCATTTCCCAAGCCGTCCTATAGTCTGGATGTTCATGAGCTTGCATGAAAAGACAAAGATATTCTGTGATTGATGCAGAAGAATGTTGAGTCTATGACTTTTTAGCTTCACCAGTTCATTTGCCATACCTGGACTAAAGCCCAGAATGGGTGGGTCTGTACAGCTAGTAATGCACTGAATACGACGTCTCAAGTCTTTCAACTGGCCCCCAGCTTCTGCAAAAATATGAGAGTGTGACAGTTAAGGGAAGTATTTAATCTACAATTACATTTTTGACATTAAGGCCCACAAGTGTCCCATGCAGGCTAATATGTAATAGGTACCTCTGGTACATCTGCCGTAATGACAAAGTTTTGATTTTAAGAAAACAGAAAACTAGAAGCATCCATAGATAAAAATAAATAATATTTAAAATAATAAAATTTCAGAATTTTACTTGTAAGAGCTAAATATTAATTTATACGACTCTACCAATCATATATGGACTAGGATTAAGGATTTTTTAAAGGATTAATTAATAATTCAGGATTTTTTTTATTTCCACCCAAAAAAATATTTTAGAGCTTGCCATAACTCGAAATATTTACATATATGAAAATAAGATATGATAAATAAGAAATGTTGTCTTAAATAGCTGAAATAAAATAAGTTCAAGCTTTTTATATTTTATGTTATTTCAGTTAACATTTATTTTATTTCAAGTAATGACATTTTTGGTCCCACTTTATATTAGGTGGCCTTAACTACTATGTACTTACATTTAAATGAATCATTTAATACAATGCACTTCTTGCATACATACATGATATTTTTAAAAATACCTGCATGCAAATGCATCTGTAATTAATTTCTGTAATTACATTTATAATTACACTGTTGACCCATCCCTTACACCTAAACCCACTCTTAAACCTACCCATACCACCAAACCTGTCCCTAACCTTACCCATATCCCACCTCAATAGCAGCAGAAGTGTTTTGCAATGCAATATGAACACAATAAGTACATTGTACTTATTTTTTATGTAAGTACATAGTAGTTAAGGCCACCTAATATGAAGTGGGACCAAATTTCTTATGGTTTTAGTTTTAGTTAACTCTAATTAGCATGGACTGTTTAAGACTGTATTCATTTACATGACTTTTCCGTGTCTAGGAATAATAAACTTTAGCTACCACATACATGCAGGTTTCTAAAATCATGGCAATGCTGGTTCTTAAATAATAATAATAATAATAATTGCTAATAAATATTGCTAATTGCTGGGTCCCGGGTCTTCTGGTTGAGAACCTCTGCTATATAGCTTATTATGGAAATTTAAGTGTAATTCGAGTGTTTGCATACCAAATCTTCCTGTAAAGTTAATCATATCCAAGAGAATGTGTTGGCCACGCCCCCATAATGTAGATGGATCTCTTAGAGAAGCCCTGATCACACTCTGCACAGCTGCTAGATCAGCATGGTCTGACATGTGGCTCCCATAAACCAGGTGACCTGTGGAGAGAACAGATCAACCAACATCATCAACAAGTTCATATTGAACCAGACCGATTAATTTAAAAGCATTTCGTGTCCCAGCAGTACCTGCTATGTACTCCAATGCTCCAGTGGGGTCACAACAATGTTTGGTTATGCGGTGATGTGCATCAATCAGAGCAAGTAGATCTTCCTGAGTCCTATAAATGGAAAAAAGTTTGGAGTTAGAATGTTTTATAACTTTCTCGCACCAATATCTGTTCAAATCCTCACCAATGGTAAAGCCGCCCTTAGCCCAGGTGTTTGAATGTTTGTCTCTGCAGCAGGACAGAGTGCAGTGTTCACAGTGTATTCATGAGAGGAGAAGGAGAGTGTCTGTTTTACTGAGGACCACAATTCATCCCTCAGGTCCCAGGAGGAATCACACACCAAGTGCAGGGCTCTAATCCTAACAGCAAATGTATCAGATGATAGATTATACACATCAGAGAGCATTTGTATGCTGCATACGGAATCAACTGATTTACTTTCTCTTAAAAGGAACACAAGCTTTTTTTTTCCTTTTTTTTTTAAATCCGGGGACATCGGATGAAGAGCTGTTTTTGACAAGGTAAAAACAGAGCCCAACTCGTCGAAAATGGGCACCCCTTTAAAATGTTTTTGAAAGAAGTCTCTTTTGCTCACCAAGGCTGCATATATTTGATTAAAAATGCAATAAAAAGTGTAATATTGTGAAATATTATTAAACTTTAAAATAAATGTTTTGTATTAGAATCCCACTCTTAAACCTACCCATACCACCAAACCTGTCCCTAACCTTACCCATATCCCACCTCAATAGCAGCAGAAGTGTTTTGCAATGCAATATGAACACAATAAGTACATTGTACTTATTTTTTATGTAAGTACATAGTAGTTAAGGCCACCTAATATGAAGTGGGACCAAATTTCTTATGGTTTTAGTTTTAGTTAACTCTAATTAGCATGGACTGTTTAAGACTGTATTCATTTACATGACTTTTCCGTGTCTAGGAATAATAAACTTTAGCTACCACATACATGCAGGTTTCTAAAATCATGGCAATGCTGGTTCTTAAATAATAATAATAATAATAATTGCTAATAAATATTGCTAATTGCTGGGTCCCGGGTCTTCTGGTTGAGAACCTCTGCTATATAGCTTATTATGGAAATTTAAGTGTAATTCGAGTGTTTGCATACCAAATCTTCCTGTAAAGTTAATCATATCCAAGAGAATGTGTTGGCCACGCCCCCATAATGTAGATGGATCTCTTAGAGAAGCCCTGATCACACTCTGCACAGCTGCTAGATCAGCATGGTCTGACATGTGGCTCCCATAAACCAGGTGACCTGTGGAGAGAACAGATCAACCAACATCATCAACAAGTTCATATTGAACCAGACCGATTAATTTAAAAGCATTTCGTGTCCCAGCAGTACCTGCTATGTACTCCAATGCTCCAGTGGGGTCACAACAATGTTTGGTTATGCGGTGATGTGCATCAATCAGAGCAAGTAGATCTTCCTGAGTCCTATAAATGGAAAAAAGTTTGGAGTTAGAATGTTTTATAACTTTCTCGCACCAATATCTGTTCAAATCCTCACCAATGGTAAAGCCGCCCTTAGCCCAGGTGTTTGAATGTTTGTCTCTGCAGCAGGACAGAGTGCAGTGTTCACAGTGTATTCATGAGAGGAGAAGGAGAGTGTCTGTTTTACTGAGGACCACAATTCATCCCTCAGGTCCCAGGAGGAATCACACACCAAGTGCAGGGCTCTAATCCTAACAGCAAATGTATCAGATGATAGATTATACACATCAGAGAGCATTTGTATGCTGCATACGGAATCAACTGATTTACTTTCTCTTAAAAGGAACACAAGCTTTTTTTTTCCTTTTTTTTTAAAATCCGGGGACATCGGATGAAGAGCTGTTTTTGACAAGGTAAAAACAGAGCCCAACTCGTCGAAAATGGGCACCCCTTTAAAATGTTTTTGAAAGAAGTCTCTTTTGCTCACCAAGGCTGCATATATTTGATTAAAAATGCAATAAAAAGTGTAATATTGTGAAATATTATTAAACTTTAAAATAAATGTTTTGTATTAGAATATATATATATATGTATATATTTATTATTATTTTTTTTTAATTATTCCTGTGATGCAATGCTGACTTTTAAGCATCATTACTCCAGTTTTCATTGTCACATGATCCTTCAGAAATCATTCAGATTTGCTGCTCAAGAAACATTTGTACTATTGTCAACAATAATACTTCTTCTTCTTCTTCTTTTATTTTTTGAGGATATCTTTATTAATAGAAACAGCATTTATTTGAAATAGAAATCTTTTATAACAATATAAATGTCTTTACTGTCACTTTTGATCAATTTCAAATGTCCTTGCTTAATAAAAGTATTAATTTCTTAAAAAACAATATCATGTATTATATTAGTGATTTCTCTCATTTACAGTCTGGCAATATTCTGGGAAGCTGAAGTGAGGTCTATAAAGGTCAAATTAAATGTAGTCAGTTTTTGGTTTTAACATATTAGGATATGGCATTAAATAACTGTGTTAGCTATTAAAAATATCTTAGAAAGGCCACATTACCTACAACAACAGCCTAAACAGTGCTTAAAAAGATATTTGGCCATTGGAGAAATATTGCGGAAACAATTTATTTTTAAATAACTTTAACTCATGAATCCTTCACAATAAGTCTAGATGCACAAAACATGCATTAAAGAAATAAATACGATTCACTTTGACAGTTATTTATATCTTACATTTTCATTTTAGTTCAGGTTTTAGTACTTTCCCAGATAGCACACATGTCTGCAAGATGTCTGTTAAAGATCTGGAAAGCATCTGCTGCGTACAAACATCTGACAGACGTCTAGAAGATGTCAGTTTTACATACATTCTACATCATAAAAATCTTAAAGACATCTAATAGATGTCTATTTGACATCTAAAATGAAACGTCCCATAGACGTATTGCAGATGAGCAAACACTCTAAAAAATACGTCTTCCAGATGTAAATGCAAACGTCAAATAGATGTCTCCGTGATATACCTGTGCTATCAGGGTTTGTTTTTGTCCTTTTGAGGTTTTTTTTTGTTTTATATATTTTAATATAGTTTTTATTAATTTGTACTCCAGTTTTGGGTTTAGTTATTTTAAAATGAAAACAGAAAATATAAAAATAAAAGCTAATTCAAAATAATAATAAAAAATATAATAGTACATCAAAGATACTAAAATAACACTCGCTGGTCTTAGTTAAATTGGGTTTAAGTTGATCTCCTAGCTTTCCTAAGTTGGTTAAGCACACCATGGTTTAACTCCATTAAAACCAGCCAGGAGAAAAACTAAATATTTTTGTTTGGTGTTTGAGCAGTTTCAGAACGGTTTTCTCTGTGGTGTCCCATTCATTAAGTTGCATTATCAACCAACATGCTGCAGATTAAGATTAACAATAACTGACTGTCCTTTTACTCTTTCCTCGCTTTCAGTTTTACACCTAACTATTTTCCAGAAAATTGACTTCTCAGGAAACGTATACTATTCACTAAGCACATTGTTTTATAAATTTATTGCAAGTAATGTCTCACACTCTCCTTGTGTATCTAAATGGACTGGATCATTAAAAGAAACAATATTTAAATGAATCTGAGTTTAAATATCAGATGCCATTCTTTATGTCAGAGAGTAAGATTCTGATGGGCTATAAACAAATAAAAATGCATTTCACACATTCATTATCGTATAGACATAAAGTTTTGATATAACCAATAGATGTATTAATGTTTATACACACTAAACTAAATCCCAAATAACAGCATGAAAAGACAGTAGATTTGTCAGAATTCAGTCATTTTCTTATGCGTGTCTGCTTTCTTCTGCTCTCTCTGAATGGTCTGTTCCTGAGCCTTCAGCTGCACAAGCAACTTGCGGGAAGCAGTGAGCTTCTCCTCGATACGACTGACCATTGTCGCATCCCTGAAGACAGAGAGAAAGCTAAAGAAAAACTAACTTAGAAAGAGAAAAACAATGCGAGTGTTGGAGAGAAAGAGGCCTCTATTCAGTTAAGTTTTTCAGTAGCCAAATTAACAGCACTAATTACAAAACAGTACTGCTGCAACAAAACTATTCATTGCGGTTTTTGTATAACTATTGCACAAGCAGGTTCATGTCAGAGAAAACGGGTAATAATGAAAGGTGCTCTCCAACTGTACATCTTTTTTTGCACAAGCAGCTTTATAAGATATAATGGAGCTAATATTTTGCATGTATACGTGTATGAATATCTTCAAAAGTCTGTTTCATCCAGTAGATTTGTTTAGACAGTTAGTTTAAATGGATACATTTTTTAAAAATTGGTCATAGAATTAATTTGCTCGAACAAACATTTTAAATTGTTGAAAGTTTTGATAAAATAAGTCTTCAAAAAAAATCTGTTTTAGAGTATCACATACGTAAACAAGGTATGTATGCAGTTATGTTGTTTGAGTTCAGATCAAATTTTCAGATCAAATTGCATTGTTTGCATGTGATGCTCTCCAAAATGGCGCTACAGGGTGATGCGGAGGAGACGAATTGTTGAATAAAGTCATTATTTTTGTTTTGTTTGCAGATAAAAAGTATTCTCGTAGCTTCGTACAATTACGGTTGAACCACTGATGTCACATGGATTATTTTAACAATGTCCTTGCTACGTTTCTGAGCCTTGATCGTGTAAGGATCCTTGCTGTCTATGGGAGGGTCAGAGAGCTCTCGGAATGCATCAAAAATATCTTAATTTGTGTTCCTAAGATGAACGGAGGTCTTACGGGTTTGGAATGACATGAGGGTGAGTAATTAATGACAGAATTTTAATTTTTGGGTGAACTATCCGTTTAAGTTATCTCGCGCCTCTCCGGTTGAGAACCACTGACCTAATATACGATCTACCAGCATTGCCTTTGCGATTGATTGGTAGACTCTTCATTAAGCCCCTAAAGAATCATATCAACTTGTGGAAAATGGGCATCCGATAACCCCTTTAAGTAGCTTACACTGGTAAGGGAAATATCAAGAAAGATATTGATGATAAGGAAAAGAGAAGAAAACTGGCCAGGTGCAAAGAAAGTGAATAAAGTATACCTTCCATTTCGTCTACTGAGAGACTTTGTGAGTTGCTGGATCTCTCTCTCCACGTGAGCTACTTTCTCTGTAGTCAGGGAATGTTTGGTGCTGTTTCCACCCCTGTAGGCCTCTACACCGATGACTGATGAGCTTGATGAATGAGACGCAGACTGAGCTCTATCACCAAGCTTAAGAGTTCAGGAAATCAAAAACATTGCGGCGTGTTGATGTGGAGGCTTTCCTCTTTTTAGCCTTCGGTTTAGGAGAGGCTGGGTTATCCTTAGCGATAGCGGCTGCAGTCTTT